ACTTCCTCTAATTTCCTATGCCTTAGCCAAATTATCGCGGTACTTCCTGATGCTTTTCAGCTAAGGTGGGTAGTTCTACGCTTTGATATCAAAATAATAAAATAACGAGTACCAAAACAATACAAGAACATAAGTAAATATATAGGTGTATCGACCGGCAAATACTACAAAACTATAGGTAACCTCGTGAAAATGTTCTTATAATTACACATACAAATAATTAAACGCAAACGAGTTTTTCGAAATATTCCACAATACTTTAATTGAACACTGAATGAGCTAATTCTCCGGGCCATTCAACCGAAGCCCTGGAAGAGAAGCGATTTTTACAATAATGTTTTAATGATTTTTTTCCAATAATTTTTATAAAATAAACGTATCAGACAGCGACAGTAGCGCGTTGCCCTTGTTATGGCCGGTGACTACGTAACATATTCGTAATTTGTTGAGTAGACGTATTTATAATATTATATTTTTGCATANAATACACGTGTACACGAAATAACGACTATATATAATGGCTTATGGCTAATAACAGTGATCAAAGTGGGTAGAAATCAATTATTTAAGTATTAAGTAAGCGAAATTTTTAACTACCGATCTATTTATAATTTAGAAGCACTTAAGTGGGAAAAAACGTAGGAAAACGTATAATTCACGATTTCATTATTTTATAAAAACACGGATTTCGTTTTTTTTGATTTTCGAATTTTTTTCATGATAATCGGGAAAAAACAGGAAGTTTAGGTTAAAAAAAATTACGGCACTTCAAATTATGTATTACCGAACTGCGCTAGAAATCGTCTTTCGTTAGCAATAGTTTATCGTTGCTTACAGATATTATGATATAACCTTATGTATCTCATCTTCCCCAATATCCACCGCACTCATCCCCAGTATCAGCTCTTTTTTATATTCGTAGCGTAGCAATGGATGTATTGATTTGAGATATATTGTTTTTTTGTGTGTTCACAACTTTTCGACCAGAAAATTTACTTTAATTGATAAATTACAAGAGAACTTTATTGTTCAATTTTGGAACTAGTTAATGCATTGAGAAGGTCATTTGTTGATTTTCCTAGAGGTTTTCATAATAGTGGACAATTAATTAGGTAATGTTGATTTCATTATTTTCAATTTGTACGCGTTATATTTTTTACCACGAATCTTGCTTTAATTCAAAAATACCAAGTGACCTTTTATTATTGAATTTCGGATCTAGTTCGTAGGTAATTACCTTCGTAATTATCTCAGTAATTTTTTGATTTTTCAAACAATTATCGTTATAATTAAAAAAAAATCAGAAAAAGACGTAAAATGAAAACTGATCAATTTACGGCCTTAAGAATTCTTTATTTTAAATTTGTTCATATACGCAAGGTTTTTCCGTAGACATATACGGCATTTATCACAAAACCTACCCCGAAACCTTCGGTAATTAGCTTTACTTACCGGACGGCCAAGGGAATAATACGTCCTTGTGCGTCGCAGTGTTCTAACATAAAAATACTTCCTCTAATTTCCTATGCCTTAGCCAAATTATCGCGGTACTTCCTGATGCTTTTCAGCTAAGGTGGGTAGTTCTACGCTTTGATATCAAAATAATAAAATAACGAGTACCAAAACAATACAAGAACATAAGTAAATATATAGGTGTATCGACCGGCAAATACTACAAAACTATAGGTAACCTCGTGAAAATGTTCTTATAATTACACATACAAATAATTAAACGCAAACGAGTTTTTCGAAATATTCCACAATACTTTAATTGAACACTAACTGAGCTAATTCTCCGGGCCATTCAACCGAAGCCCTGGAAGAGAAGTGATTTTTACAATAATTTTTATAAAATAAACGCATCAGACAGCGACAGTAGCGCGCTGCACTTGTTATGGCCGGTGACTGCGTAACATATTCGTAATTTGTTGAGTAGACGTATTTATAATATTATATTTTTGCATAATAATATTAATGCGATGACGACCGTGTAAAATAATATGATTATATATTTAAATATTTTAAGATAGGCACCGTTACTAAAG